AACTCTTTTCCATACCACCCAGGAGGTAGAGTTGTTAGGCGCGTTTTTTTAATGTGGTGTCGCCACAGAAATGCAACGACTTCTGCAGCCCTAATCCACTAATCTAACTCATTGACTAATTATTCTTAACTAATAAACGAATTGTACCGAATGTAATGCGAAAAGAACCTCGCGAGATGACCTAATGTACCCAAAAATTTCGATTTTTAAAAGCGAAAGAACCTCTCGGTGTGTAGTGTGTAATTTTTATTAATGTAAAATTGTATGAAATTTTAATATGGAAATTGTAGTTCGGTTTTCAAACGGTGATTGTGATATTATAAAAAAAAGCATCCACATGATGTACCCCCCAGAGTACAGAAGTACTCCCCAAATACACCATGTAATTACTTGGAAAAAGGACTTCATAGTCTCCTAGCCTATAAAACTTATGGACAAATCATTTTGTGATTTGCAATTATTAATTAATTAATGTAAAAAAGCGCGGAAAAAAGAAAGGTTCTTCCACAACGCCACCCTCTTTGAGCTCAAACAAAAGTACGCGAAAAACCCCAAAAAAGGTATGACTGAAGATATTAACGTGAAAACGCGAATTAATAATACGCGAACAACTTTAAAAAAACGTATGACCGAAAACGCCCCTAATAAATAATATAACTACTTAATAGTAATTACTTAATAATAATAGAATAATATAACTAAAGTCTTCTCACACTTCATATTCATCTTGATATTCACCAATCCGGCAGTTTTCTTCTATTGGTCTTGATCCGTCAGCAGTCTTCTGTTGGTCCTGGTTGGCCTCTGGAAAGTGATGGATAATTATGAAATAAAAATTGATTATTATTTTAAATTAATTTGAAAATAAATTACAAAATATTCGACCGAAATTTTTACGTCAAAAGGACCCTTAACTAAACATTAGTTTAAGACTAATATAATACAATAATATCGATACACTATTATAAAGATCCAATAATAATAATACAATATAATTAAAGTTTTTTCATACATTTTATCTTTGCTCCATATGATTTCATTTATGCGCATAATCTCCAATCTGGTAGCGGCTTCCTGGTTGTCTTGAAAAGGAAATCTTCTGGAAATCTTCATGGAAATACACCTGAAACGAGATTAAAAAAAACACAAATTTACCTAAAAGGGATGAGGATATAAACGGGGCCCCGGTAATGTTAATATTAAAAAATTATAACTTATATAAATGTAAGTCTAGATAACGACTAATTATATGTAATACGAGAAAACTAATATATGCATGCATATTATCCTGGAATGTGCTTCTCCTGTAGTAGTTGGTCTTGGCATTGATTTCTCTTGTATCAGAAGTCCCTCCTGGGTTGTGCTTCTCCTGTAGTAGTTGGCCTCGGCATTGATTCCTTTTGTATCACAAGTCTATCCTGGGTTGTGCTTCTCCTGTAGTAGTTGCTCTTGGTATTGATCGATATACTTTTTTTAAAAAAATTCAAACACTTTTCAAGCACTGCGTCTTCAACATTTTTCCGTCACGGGAGACCCATTGTGCAATAACGAATATAGTACATAAAAGCAGAAAAAACCCGTTAAAATAAATATAAGTAATTTGAGAAACAAGCTGGATTTCAAAATTTCAAACTAGATGTTTGAATGCGCATATAACGTAAGGTAATTAATAAAATAATTCAAAAAAAAATTAACGTTACTCTTAATATGTACATATAGTAATATTTATGAATTAAAGCGTATGGCGTTGCTCCGCTTCTGGGAAAAACTTTGCAAGCAACCACACACCGACAAACAAAAATTAATTTAATAATTAATCGCGAACTACTCGAACCTGCCGAGGGGGGAGGGCGACAGGTTTTAAAAATGCGCAAACTCGGCTTTAAAAATCGTTTTAAACGATGAAAAAATTATAAATGATTAACGATAATAGTTTCGAACTCAATTTTCCGCACAAACAAAACAGAAAAGCGGTTGGACGCAAGTAGTAACTAAGCCATGATAAAAATAGATTAATTAAAAATTTTAAATATAATAAAATGTAAAAAAAGGCACAATGAATCCCCAGTCACCCGCCACTGTGCAAAACACCACACAAAATCTGAACAAGTTAAATAAAAAGAAAATTAATTAAAATAATAAAATAATATAAATAAATAAATACTAGTCGGTTGTAAATACGGTCGGTTTCCTTAGTCGCGCTTCTTTCATTTGCGTTTTTGCAATTCCTGGCCAAAAAAAAAATTAAAAAAAAGTATTTCAAACATAGGATTTATAATAAAATTGTATGTTGACTACTAAATCTGTTCTAAACCGACAAGGTACACATTATAATCTAAATATGTATTAGGTTATTTATGTTAATTCCGAAGCTAAAATTGAATATATTCGTAACAAAAAAACACGAAGGCGGCTTCTCAGCAAATGTATATTAGAGTATAAAAAGTAATATATATCGTTTAATATAAAAGTGACGAATATTTACTTCAATTTATTTGAATTCTTTTATTCATTATTGAACAGTGAATCAAGTCAAACACAAATTCCATGCAACGTATTTAAAACTGAATATATGAAATTATTACACAATATAAATATTTTTAAAAGACTTACCATTGAACTGTCCCCACGAGCTCCAAACACTGAATGGTTTGACTTCGGTTTTTGGACCCAATTTATAAGGTCGAAACGGCGTGAATTGTTACCAGATGATATTAAAATTCAATAATTGTTATCTATTCGGAATAGTTTTGGGATCAGAATCATAGAGGGCGCAATACCAAAGTAAATATGCAATTTTAACTCAGTAATAATCTAACCTTCGTGGCGGTTGTTGACAAGTATTATTTCTCTTAATTATATTTTTATTTATGTTTGTGGCTTAATAATTTGTGTGTTTTGTCGACTAACAATAAACAGTAGTATATATATATATATTTATTTGTGTGTAAGTGAAATATAAGGAAAGTTTCGGATGCAACGCTATTTTATTAAAAACCAATAAAATATCATAACAAATTATATTATGGTGCAGATAACAGCCGAGATTTTTTCTAAAAGTTAAAAATATCAGTTAATATAATTAATGCGATAAACATTTTATAAAAATAGTATTTGGTATGAGTTTTTGTTCTACTATGTATAATCACATAATAATCTGTATGTTACAATAATTATTCTATATTTCTGAATTATTTGTTTGCTGTGTCCTCTGACAATGAGTGGAGGCCTGCCAAGCATTTCTCAAATTGAATTTTGTCTATTTGTATCAACTTTCTCGCATTATTAAATTAATTAGAATGTATATTTTCTTGTTAAATTTATTTGCATACTATTATATACAGAATTGAATACCTTCACCTACACCTAGCCTGCGTACAATGGCTAGGCAAAACGTAAATATTACGGGCATAGCCCGCGTACGATAATCCTCAATAATTATTCTAAGTTCTTATTAAATATTGGCGATACGTGCTGCAAATGCGTTTTATTTTTGTAGGTTTCGTGGTGTAGTGGTTATCATAACAGCCACATCTGCTTTACGCGCAGAAGGCCGCCGGTTCGATCCGGCCCGGAATCATCTAATGGAATCCTCTATATTAATTCAAAACCAATGAAGGGTTTTGTTGGTATATTGATTGTTTTATTTTCGATCCCGGTCGGAGTCATCTAATGAAATCCTCTACCTTTATTTAAAACTAATAAAAGGTTTTCGTGGTTTATTCACTGTCGGTGCAATCCCACTACGCATCCTACATAGAAGTCTTCAATATTTATTCTAAGCTTTTATTAAATATTGGCGATGCATGCTGCAAATGTGATTTACTTTCGTAGGTTCCGTGGTGTAGTGGTTATCACATCTGCTTAACACGCAGAAGGCCGCCGCTTCGATCCCGGCCGGAATCATCTAATGTAATCCTCTATATTTATTCAAAACGAATAAAGGACTTTGGTGGTTTATTGATTGTCGGTGCAATCCCACGATGAATCATATATCGAGGTCTTCAATATTTATTTTAAGCTTTTATTAAATATTGGCGATGCGTACTGCAAATGCTTTTAATTTTTGTAGGTTCCGTGGTGTAGTGGTTTGAAATGATATGGGGTGTTTGTTGAATTGATTTGAGTTCCAAATGTTGGTTGATCCACTCTCCAATTCGGTGATAAATCCGTCCAACCCTTTCCAGGTGTCGTGGGCAGAGCTTATAGTTATAATATGAAACAATAACACTGGTAGAAATCTCCTCGGAACCGTGAGCACTTTATACTGGTATAGGCTGAAAGAGTCTCATACGCAAAGTCTAATAGAAACACTGAATTTGATTTGACTGTCACTTTATTTAATTTTTAATAAACTTTCAAATCACAAACTGACATAAATTCGTGTTAAGACATACTCTCTTTAAGACATTATTAGACTGGACTCTCTTCTAAGACATCACTGAGTTTGATAGACGAACACTACTCTATTTATTCAGTATAGGACGTGACATATGTGCACTTTCGCATTCGTGCGCTGGCCTTGTACTTTGGTTATTTATTAAAACCGCACGAAATGCATTATTACCGGTTCGATCCCGGCCGGAATCATCTAATGTAATCTTCTATATTTATTCAAAACGAATAAAGATTTTTGATGGTTTATTGATTGTCGATGCAATCCCATGATGAATCATAAATCATACAGAAGGCCGCCGGTTCGACCCCGGCCGGAATCATCTAATTGAAATCCTATATATTTATTTAAAGCCAATAAAGGGTTTTGGTGGTTTATTGATTGTCGTTGCAATACCATGATAAATCATACATCAAAGTCCTCAATATTTATTCTAAGCTTTTATTAAATATTGGCGATGCGGGCTGCAAATGCGTTTTATTTTCGTAGGTTCCGTGGTGTAGTGGACATCGATGTATGATTGACATCATGGGATTGCACCAACAATCAATATATCACCAAAAATCTTCATTGGTTTTGAATTAATATAGAGGATTTTATTACATGATTCCGGCCGAAATTGAACCAACGGCCTTCTGCGTGTGAAGCAGATGTGATAACCACTACACCACAGAACCTACAAAAATAAAACGCATTTGTAGCACGCATCGCCAATATTTAATGAAATTTTAGAATAAATATTGAAAACTTTGATGTATGATTTATCATGGGATTGCACCGACAAATCAATTTACCACCAAAACCGTTTATTGGTTTTGAATAAATACAGAGGATTTCATTACATGATTTCGGCCGGGATCGAACCGGCGGTCTTCTGTATGATTTATGATTCATCATGGGATTGCACCGACAATCAATAAACCACCAAAAACCTTTATTCGTTTTGAATAAATATAGAGGATTACATTAGATGATACCGGCCGGGATCGAACCGGCGCCCTTCTGCGTGTTAAGCAGATGTGATAACCACTACACCACGGAACGCCGGTTCGATACCGGCCGGAATCATCTAATGAAATCCTTTGTATTTATTCCAAACAAATGAATTTTGGTGGTTTATTGGCTATCGGTGCAATCCCACGATGAATCATACATCGAAGTCTTCATTATTTTAAGCTTTTATTAAATATTGACGATGCGTGCTGCAAATGCGATTTATTTTTATAGGTTCCGTGGTGTAGTGGTTATCACAACTGGTCCGGTTCGATCTCGGCCGGAATCATCTAATGTAATCCTCTATATTTATTCAAAACGAAAAAAGGTTTTTGGTGGTTTATTGATTGTCGGTGCAATCCCATGATGAATCATAAATCATACAGAAGGCCGCCGGTTCGAGCCCGGCCAGAATCATCTAATGAAATCCTATATATTTATTCAAAGCCAATAGAGGGTTTTGGTGGTTTATTGATTGTCGTTGCAAGACGATGATAAATCATACATCAAAGTCCTCAATAATTATTCTAAGTTTTTAATAAATATTTGCAATGCGTGCTGCAAATGCGTTTTATTTTTGTAGTTTCCGTGGTGTAGTGGTTATCGCATCTGCTTCACACGCAGAAGGCCGCCGGTTCGGTCCCGGCCGGAATCATCTAATGTAATCCTCTATATTTTGTTCAAAACGAATAAAGGTTTTTGGTGGTTTATTGATTGTCGGTGCAATCCCATGATAAATCATACATCAAAGTTTTCAATATTTATTCTAAGCTTTTATTAAATATTGGCGATGTGTGCTACAAATGCTTTCTATTTTTGTAGGTTCTGTGGTGTAGTGGTTATCACATCTGCTTCACACGCAGAAGGCCGCAGGTTCGATCTCGGCCGGAATCATCTAATGTAATCCTCTATGTTTATTCAAAACGAATAAAGGTTTTTGGTGGTTTATTGATTGTCGGTGCAATCCTATGATGAATCGTAAATCATATAGAAGGCCGCCGGTTCGATCCCGGCCAGAATCATCTAATGAAATAATACGATGATAAATCATACATCAAAGTCCTCAATAATTATTCTGAGCTTTTAATAAATATTGGCGATGCGTGCAGCAAATGCGTTTAATTTTTGTAGGTTCCGTGGTGTAGTGGCTATCGCATCTGCTTCACACGCAGAAGGCCGCCGGTTCGATCCCGGCCGGAATCATGTAGTAAAATCCTTTGTATTTATTCAAAACCAATGAAGGGTTTTGGTGGTTTAATGATTGTCGGTGCAATCCCATGATAAATCATACATCAAAGTTCTCAATATTTATTTTAAGCTTTTATTAAATATTGGCAATGAGTGCTGCAAAAGCGTTTCATTTTTGTAGGTTCCGTGGTGTAGTGGTTATCTCATCTGCCTAACACGCAGAACGCCGCCGGTTCGATCCCGGTCGGAATCATCTAATGAAGTCCTATATATTTATTCAAAGCCAATAAAGGGTTTTGGTGGTTTATTAATTGTCGTTGCAATACCATGATAAATTATACATCAAAGTCTTCAATATTTATTCTGAGCTTTCATTAAATATTGGCGATGCGCGCTACAAATGCGTTTCATTTTTGTAGGTTCCGTGGTGTAGTTGTTATCTCATCTGCTTAACACGCAGAAGGCCGCCGGTTCGATCCCGGCCGGAATCATATAATGAAATCCTCCATATTTATCAAAACGAATAAAGGGTTTTGGTGGCTTATTTATTGTTGGTGCAATCTCATGATGAATCTTACATCGATGTCCTCAATATTACTGCAAATGCATTTTATTTCTGTAGGTTTCGTGGTGTAGTTGTTATCACATTTGCCTAACACGCAGAAGGCCGCCGGTTCGATCCCAGGCGGAATTGTCTAATGAAATCCTTTATAATTATTGAAATCCAATTAAGGATTTTGGTGGTTTATTGACTGTCGGTTTATTCTGATCTTTTATTAAATATTGGCGATGCGTGCTGCAAATGCAATTTATTTTTGTAGGTTCCGTGGTGTAGTGGTTGTCACATCTGCTTTACACGCAGAAGGTCGCCGGTTCGAACCCGGCCGGAATCAACTAATGAAATCCTCTATATTTATCAAACGAATAAAGGGTTTTGGTGATTTATTGATTGTCGGTGCAATCTCATGATAAATCTTATATCGAAGTTATCAATATTGCTGCAAATGGGATTTATTTTTGTAGGTTTTGTGGTGTAGTGGTTATCACATCTGCTTAACACGCAGAAGGCCGCCGGTTCGAACCCGGCCGAAATCATCTAATGAAATCCTGTATATTCATCAAAGCGAATAAAGGGTGTTGGTGGTTTATTGATTGTCGGTGCAATCTCATGATGAATCTTACAGCGATGTCCTCAATATTGCTGCAAATGAGATTTATTTTTGTAGGTTCCATGGTGTAGGCCGCCTGTTTGATCCCGGCCGGAATCATATAATAAAATCTTCTATATTTATTCAAATCCAATAAAGGCTTTTGGTGGTTTATTGACTGTCGGTGCAATCTCACGATGAATCATACATCGAAGTCTTCAATATTTATTCAAAGCTTTTATTAAATATTGGCGATGCGTGCTACAAATGCGTTTTATTTTTGTAGGTTCCGTGGTGTAGTGGTTATCACATTTGCTTAACACGCAGAATGCCGCCGGTTCGATCCCGGCCGGAATCATCTAATGAAATCCTCTATATTTATCAAAACGAATAAAGGGTTTTGGTGGTTTATTCATTGTCGGTGCAATCTCATGATGAATCTTACATCGATGTCCTCAATATTGCTGCAAATGAAATTTATTTTTGTAGGTTCCATGGTGTAGGCCGCCTGTTTGATCCCGGTCGGAATCATATAATAAAATCCTCTATATTTATTCAAATCCAATAAAGGCTTTTGGTGGTTTATTGACTGTCGGTGCAATCTCGCGATGAATCATACATCGAAGTCTTCGATATTTATTCAAAGCCTTTATTAAATATTGGCGATGCGTGCTACAAATGCGGTTTATTTTTGTAGGTTCCGTGGTGTAGTGGTTATCACATCTGCTTTACACGCAGAAGGCCGCCGGTTCGATCCCGGCCGGAATCATCTAATGGAATCCTCTACATTTATTCAAAACCAATAAAGGCTTTTGGTGGTCTATTGACTGTCGGTGCAATCTCACGATGAATCATACATCGAAGTCTTCAATATTTATTCTAAGCTTTTATTAAATATTGGCGATGAGTGCTACAAATGCGTTTTATTTTTGTAGGTTTCGTGGTGTAGTGGTTTTCACATCTGCCTTACGCGCGGAAGCCGCCGGTTCAATCCCGGCCGGAATCATCTAATGAAATACTTTATATTTATCAAAACAAATAAAGAGTTTTGATGGTTTTTTTTTTTTTTTTATTTATTTTTTATTGGCTTTGTAAGCTTGTACATTGGCCATTGTCTACAGAATTTCACATCTACAAAAATTAAGACTAATATACATATATATATATATAAATCCACATGCATACATACTCATTCACACACCTACATATATATATATATATACACATATATATATATATATACACGCATATACATACACAAAGACACATCAATATACATATACACCTAATTTTAATTACACATGTTGAATCTCTATACCATTAATCTAGTTTCACATATATACTCGTATATAGCATCATAAGTTACAGTGTCTGCCAACATCAGTCTCAGGTTTGTGGGAAGTGGGATCCTCAGTTTTGTTAATTTATTCCATAGTTTTTCTCTTTTTTCCTCCATATGTCTACACTCCATAATTAGGTGATTGGCATCTGCATTATTTGCTTCGCCAAGACAATGACAATACGGATTGATGTTAATTCCGATCCTATTCAAGTGGAAAGGCGTAAAGGTGTGATTGGTTCTCAGACGATTAAAAATGCAGTAAAAATGACGACTCCTCGTAAATTTGTCGAACCATGGTCTGATAGGAATTTGTTCTTGTATGGCTGCATAAAAACTGTCCTTTTTCACGACTTGACTCTTGGAATTCCAATTGCCACTCCTTGTATATCTTTGCCTTAAAGAGGTTTTTGATATCTTGGTGGGATATTCCATCTTCTACGATTATACCCGTGTTTATTGCATCTTTTGCTCCTTTGTCAGCAGCTTCATTCCCTGTTACTCCAATATGACTCTTGATCCAAATTAAGTAAACGGATTTTCTTTTCGAGAGTATGTTATGTATATGATTAAGAGTATCTAACACTAAAAAACTTGGGTCCCTGCCTATAGATAGCAGGCTCTCTAAGGATGATCGGCTATCACTGAATACAACGGCTTTCTCCAAGCTAAGTGAGGCGATGTTCCGAATACATTTGTTTATGGCGTACATTTCAGCTGTATAAATCGACGCATTTATATCTAACTTATATTTAGTATATAAGTTAGTGTTCTGATGATAGATGCAAGCACCTACGCCCTCAGGACCTTTTGAACCATCTGTGAAGAAAACCTCGAAGTCCGGAAACGTGTTTTTAATTTTATCTTCAATTTCTAATCTATACCCCAATCAATTGGACTGCTATATATATTACAAAATTCCGTCTGTATGATATTTTGAAGGTTTGTAGTCGTGATTTCATAGTTGAAGTAGAATTTTGTTGCTTTGTTTTGTTCTTCTAATGGCTTGCATTTGTATTCAGTTTCGGAGATCACTGACATAAGTATAGGTTTCTTCTTATTCTGCCAATATTGTCTGTTCTGACAGTTGTTAGCACTACTAATTTTTGTATCACCTCTACGTTGTTGGACCTTATTCTGTCAATAACGAATTTCGTTGCTAACAGTTTCCTCCTCAAATGCAGAGGCATTATGTGTGCTTCCACATGTAAGGCGTTAATGGGCGTTGAACGCAAAACTCCCAGGCAATACCTTATAGCTTTATTTTGCAGGGTATCCAGTTTGCGTAGTAGATTTTTACTTGCATCCCCATAAATGAAGCAGCCATAATCAAGTTTAGATAATATAAGCTGTTTATATATCCTGATTGCAACCTTCACGTCAGCGCCATACATCATGTGATTTAATACTCTCAAGATATTTAATGCATCTTCACATTTTCTTGACAGATTTTCCAAATGTGGACCCCATCGTAATTTGTTATCTATAGTCAAACCCAGACATTTTGTGGTAGCTTGTATTTTTAAGGTGTATCTACCTAATTTTATTGACTCCATCGCAATAGAATTCCTTTGTCTGGTGAAAAACGATACTGCACTTTTATTCTCGGAGATTGAAAATCCCAGTGATGTGGTCCATTTTCCAAATGACGTCATGGTCTGATCCATTTTTTTGGTCACATCATTTAATGACACTCCACTATGTGATAATATTAGATCATCTGCATATTGCATGATCCGAGCGTCCTGGCCAATCTCATTTTGAAGGTGTGCCGTGTATACGTTGAACAACAAGGGGCTAAGGACAGAACCCTGAGGTAAGCCTTCCGACATATACCGTGGCCCATAATGTGTATCTTTACATCTGAGGACTAATTTTCGATCTTTCAATAAGTGATAAATGTGAACAATAAATCTCTTAGGGAGTTTTAATTCATATAGAATGTTTATTAAAATCGGTATTTGAACCCTGTTGTATGCGTTCTCCAAATCCAAGTTGATAGTCAATACACAATTTTTCTTGGCCAGGTTGTTGTGAATTTCATAGACGAAACTAGTTAGAACATCATACGTGCCTCTTTTGTTTCTGAAACCTTGCATGTAACTTGGCAATTTCTTCTTATTCTCGAGCCACCACTCGATTCTTCTTTTCATTAAGCGTTCGAATGTTTTGGACATACATGACGCTAGAGAAATCGGCCGATATGATTCTATTTTTGTTGCATCCTTATTAGGCTTTAGAACTGGTATTGTGATATATGTCCTCCAGTCTTTTTACAGCAATCTCTTTAGTCCAGATGTCGTTGAAGACCTTCAGTAGAATTTTTTTTCCCTTATCTGATAGGTTACTTAGCATGGGGTAATGTATATTGTCATTACCCGGCGCAGTATTACTATTCCTTTTTAGTGCCAAATGTAATTCATCAATGGTAAAGGGACCTTCTAATTCGTCATTTTTTTCCATGTCCTGTATGTTGACGTCATTAATTACCGTATCCGGAGTAAGTGAGTTAAGAAACTGATCAGCTAAGTTATTAGGAAATGCATTGGTTCGAGTGGCTCCATTTTTCATGACCTTTATATGGTGCCAGATTTGTTGTGAAGACATGTCTCTGGAGAAAGAGTTACAAAACTCTGTCCATTTATCGTATTTTTTCTTTTTAAATACAAATCGACACTTAGCTACCGCTCGCTTGTATTTTATATAATTGTCTATGTTTGGTATTTCTTTGTATTTCTTAATTGCTTCCGATTTTATTTTCTTCAC